AAAACCACAACCCCCCCCCCCCCCCCCCCCCCGATGCTGCACGTGGTCCGCACGTGCGCTATCCACCCCCAGAAGAACTTCTTGGTCAACAGCTCGTCGTCTACCCCGTTTCTGTACAGCCACGGGTACCTGTTGAACAAACAAAGGGTTTTCCGCGTACGTATCGCGGCGTGTGGTGAAGGGGAACAAAAGTTGGTGCTTCTGTGGGACATCCATGTACAGTACTGCTGTAGTGTCGCGGACATGCCTCGCGGGGTTAAGGAAGAAAGGCTGCTCCTTCTTTTAGGACACGTCGCTCGAGGTCTTTAAACGAATGCCTCTTACCAAACCGTGCAAAAGCTGCTTGTGGAATAATACGCATTTTCAATTAGACTATGAGCAAAACGGATGCTTTTGAACATTTGCAATGGTTCGCCAACGGCATGCGCTCTACAAGTGTACAGGAACTTCCCGAAGTGTCATCATAGTTATTATAGCGCATCGGCTCCCTCTTCACCTTCCCGGTGCGAACAAGGATGTGTGCCTTAATCTAACAGGAGTACACGGTTGCACCGCTAGACCTCGCTCATCTGCTCTCTAGGATACTTTCCGCACCCTCGGGAAGAACGTTTCAGCCCTGTGTCAGATATTGCTTGGAGGAACTTCATTCCACTCTTTGGCTGTAGAGCACAACACAGACCCTGGTGTACTTGGATGAGGCCCCAAGGTTCACGGGACCCGCTTGGCAGGAAAATACGAGAGGGCGTTTTCAAACAAGGCGGTTGGTTGCACGGCACGGGGGGAGGTGGGGAATCCTCCCACGGCCAAATTCCGCTGGCTTTCCGAACTCTCAGTGCCGGTCAACGACATGTGCAGCGGGAGCGCATTCATCTCTACCTTAGCGCTGTCGAGGGCAAAACATCCATGTCGTACACCCCTAGCAGCACGATCGGCAGGCCGGTGTAGAGCAGGGCCCACAGCATCGAGTTCACCCAGTCGTAGAAGAACTGTCCGCTTAGCCCTGGACGACAGGAGGCGGGAGGGTTGGGGGGTGATTGAGGTGTACGGTATTGACTGGCTAGCATTGACCGCGCTATACCGGCTGACCAATGAAAACGCGCCGATGTAGGGAACGGGAGGTGGATTGGTTCTCAATAGCGTTGAGCACATGCTGAACTACGACGCGCAGATGTCGACAAGAGAGTAACGGTGAGAAACGAAGGGTTGTTTGTGTGCTGTGAAAAACACTCGGTGTGTTGTACGGGACAACGCTTGGGCAAAGTGCTGGTGATGATGCCAAAAATAGCGAGCGACATGAAAAAACATCATCAGGCTCATGGCGAAAAATTCAACGAATACGTTCGTCGCCTACTACACAGTGGTTGGCACAAGTGGACCTCTGCCAAAATGATTCTTGGTAGCTTTGATGACTGTTCTTAATGCGTGGACGGTTGACATCGACAACACAAGCAAAAACGAACATAAATAAATAAACAAAAAATAAAAACTTACCGTTAAAGAAGGCGTAAACAAAGAGAGGGACGGCCCAGCTGACCGACTTGTAGAAGAGGTAGCTGGTTGCGAAGCTCATCCTTCGGTAGTTGAACCTGACACAAGAGAGCAGAAGCAAAACGAAGAGCAAAGGGGGGTAGAAGGTTGACACGAAAAAAACAAACAAGAGAAAATGAGATCAGGGCGTAAAACGACTAAAACTTTAACATGGAAGTACACACATTGTAGTGCATGTGTCCAATTCCGTTTCTTTAATTGTGCGGAGTAGAAACAATATTACCACTTCATTATCTCGCTTGCGCACGACGGTAGTACTAACAGACTCGAGAAGGGTTCGAGGTCAACGATAGCCGGGTGCACTGCTGCTCTTCCTTCTTTGCCTCTAGAGCTAGCTCTCTGTTGCGCGAACCACCCCACTTAGAACCGTCGCTCGTCCGACATAACCCGAGACTAGATGCCTGGAGGCAGGAGGGCTTTGCTCTCAAAAACCATCACGACAGAGGTGACAGCCAATAGCAACCACAGCTGCAGCAGCATCAACAACAACGAGAGACAGCAGCACGACAGCAACAACAGCAGCAGCAACAACAACAGCTGCAGCAGCAACAACGACGACAGAATCAACACAGCTACAGCAGAAGCAGCAACGACGACATACAGCCACATACCTTCCATGGCAAAGCAGAAGCTTCTGCAGGAACCGGAACTGCGCGAGGGAGT